GAGGGTGAGTCGTTCTGAAATGTATTTCTTTTTCACTTGAGGAAAGGTCTCTTTTTGGTTAGTTTTTTTGATTCATGTTCTCCTTATGCATCAGACTGGACTTTGAAAATGTTTCCTTTCGGCGAGAACGGGGAGGACAGGTCTATGCGGGCGTCGAGCATGATGGTGTGACGTGGCCAATGCAAAAAACCAAACTCCGCGTTTCTTGATATTTTGTGATGTGCCGTTACGCCTTCTAGTTCAATTCAGAATTGTAGTGGCGTTCAAATGCGATTGGTCCATGCTGTGACATGCGCGGATAATCGTTTCACGAGCTAAGCCTCTGTACTCTCAGCCGACTTTTGCAACTTTTGGTGAGATGAAGTGTGGAGAAGAGGGGCTCATCATGGGCAAGATCAAATCCAAATTTACCCCTGTGTGGTATGCGGCGCCACTTGCTAATACATCTTAATAGCACGCTCCATGTATAATAGCTTACAGTCAAGGCTCGTAAGATAGTGACACTCATCTTCACTGCAGCATCAACATACTTACTACTTCTACTTTCAAGTTTCTTCGACTGCACTTCAAATTGAGGACCCAAAAGCGTAGAAATTCACGGTGCTTGCTCACGCTCTGCACTATCTGTCTTCCTTTACGGCCCAATTTTTAGACATTTAGACCCTTCTAGTTTTATTAGGTCGCCTTTGAAATGTTGAACGTGTAGAAGTGTTGGAGAAGGGCCAATAAGTACTGACCAATAACCACCCAGTCTGTTCAAAAATGGTGTTCAAGGAGTGCTACATTAACTGTAGGTGATTGCAGGTGAAAAATGTCATGTGAACATTGTCGAAAGAGTGAAAATAACGAGAGCGGATCATGAGTCTTACGTGACACAGTTGGCAAAACTGAACAACAGCGTTAGTCGTTTTCTCATTTTCCATAATTATTCCAGTTTGCTTGACTTCCGCATCATATGCTTTATGCCGTGTTTATTTGGTCCGTTCCTAACCACTTGAAAAAAACAATGAATTTCCTATTGAAATTTTATAAATCACTAAGCAAAATGTACAGAAACGATCATTAGAGTTGTAGTTTAAAGTGTTCGTCCCCATCCGTTTAGTCAGAGCTTAAGCTTTCAATCTTTCGATGAATGCGTCCGTCATGTTGTTTGTCCTTTGTGCATCCAAGAATAACAAGCAATACCTAAAAGAGAACTTTAAGCGTATCTCGGATGATGCGCTCGTTGTGGAAGGTCAGCACTTAATACCCACTGTAAATACTGCAATCTTTTCCTGTTTCATGCGTTTTAGCTTGAATTTTTGAAACTGCGCAAAAATTTCAAATTTCACCTCGGGATTTCGCAGATCGTTGGATGACATTTTCCTCGTTGCATTCAATGACTGCACAATCTCACAAAATTGAAGCTTCCCAAAAGTCCCAGCCGTGCGGAGGCATTCGATTCGACAGCCCCTTTTTTGATATGCGCCACCACGAACTTTCTCCAGTCGACAGTGTGTGAGATTTGGCCTATATAATAATTTGTGGAGCTTGCCGATTTTCGTGTCAGTGTTTTATCCTCCCAGACAAGTCTCGTGCAGTAGACCGGCTTTAAAAGGTTGGCGTATGGTATGCCGCTAACTGATCGGTCCCATTCACTAAAATTTGCTGTGATCGAAGCAATCTGGGAACATAGTTGGCCAACATGAATAACTGATGAGTAAAATCACTGGGCGTCCTTAGAGTGCGATAATGCTGTAATGTAATGCCACCACAGACATCAACTTGGAAACTTTCTAGCAGGACAAGGCTTCTAGTCATAACAAAAATTTTGCAAAGAGAGGTTTTTCGACCTTGTAGTGTTTAAACAACTTTCATCTAGGAATCCTTCACCGAATCCAGCGGACTTTCTGCATGGTAAACCTGAAAGCACGAGCAGTTCAGAATCTTAGAAAACGTTCGATTTTCTTATGAGGTCATAACAAAATCTTGGAATTATTCTTACTCGTCTCACCTGCGTGCCACCAATTCACGCTTTCTCTTCTAATCTGAAGGCCTGCATCGATGCAGGGAGTAACAAATTTCGAACACAACCTAGCCCTGCTTTTCAGTTTGAGACAGACCAGCTTCAAAAAAGTTGTAGGCCATCAGGCCAAGCTGATGACCTCTTTTTTGAAGTTGCTCTGTCTCAAACCCTTTTTTTAAGTTGGTTGTCTCATTTGAGTAATATTCGTTTTTAATGATACAGTTCCATAGTTATTATAATTTTCGCCCACCCTGTAGAATTTTTGTTTCCATAGTTTTCAAAAAGGTGACGTTTTAGTATTCTCTTATTAGTTCTTTCATGGTCCTTATCGTTCATTCTTGCATTGAAGGTGGCCATAAGTGATAACGGATTCGATTTCGTTGAATTCCGATTCTGAAAACCGTGAACTGACCTCGTTGGCACTAAGCGGTGTGCAGCTGCTGTGTCAGTGGACCGCAGACGTTGTTGAAACTATTAGTTGGAAATTGCTCCACCCAACAAATAGCAGGGACAACAAGGACTGCCCAGAAAATGCAGAGGAGTATGAACGGGCAACGAGGTAAGTCATGTGTGTTGCCTAGGGGCAGGACTTATAGCTAGCCATCTTCCTTCTCGCCTACAAATTCGGAACAATGTTTGCTCGCCATTTTCATCTCAATTCGTTTTAGGTACAATTATTCGGCTGCTGAAAAGACGGCTCTCATTCAAACAATTTCCATGATTAAAGGATTACAATCTTTGCTGGGACGAATTGAGCCGTCATTGTCGAATGCTATCAGGTGTTACTTTGCTCTCCAAGGCTGTTATTTATCTTTTTTCCAGCGACTAGGAAGATACATATGTGTTGAATGGTGAATCTTCAAAAAAATAGTATGGAATAAAACTAAAGCAACAGAGCCAGGCCCGAGCGAGCATGAGAAATGGGTTCAAAGTCAGTCCATCAAGGTTGTTGGCTAGATCATCAAAAAACACTCATTTGGGCTTTTGGATTAGCTGCGTGTGCATTTAACAAACTCATTTATATGATTCACTTGCATTATGTCTTTAGAAAGCACTAAGCGGCAAAATTTGAATAGCTGGAAAGATCGCTTGCTTCAGTAAATGCTTGTTACGTTTTTCATTATCATTTTATTTTAAGGCGTCACATCTATGCGGAACTGCAAGGTTTCGTGCAGCACGCTTTCAACGAACCCATACAAAAGGCTATTAAAGGCAAAAAGGATTTACTGGCAAGGTGCGTTGATGGTGTTATGGAAGTTTTCTTTCAAAAACGACATATTTTCTGATCCTAATCTTACAAGACGCAGCTTATGTGATGCTATATTTGTAGCATTTTGCAATCGGTTCGTGACACATGTGTGGATGCGTACTCCTCTGCTTCCGAATCTCGTCCGTCAATCGAAAAGAAAAAACGTCAGGGGAAGGAATCAACGAACAGTTCAAGTAGTGACTTACGGATAGCTCGAAGAGCGTCACCTCCTACACCGAGCAGTACACAGGTTTCTTATCAATAACTTGATACGGTACTTGTTGCTTTATCTTCATCTGCCAACCGTTGAATAAGATTACGTAATTTCTTTAAGAATTCAACAATTTATGCTTCAATTCTTTTTCGTTCAAGCTCTATATGGCCAGAACACAACTGGAGTCGTTGATTTCGGAGCGAACTAGTGGCGGGAAACGCGTTCTCAGGAAGGAACTTGATGCGAAAACAATAGAAAGAATCTCCGTTTTTCTGCGGTGTGTCATTTGTGAAATTGACTTCAAGTTTCAAATGCCTATTCGATCGCGATTGCTTCTCCCAAAAGTTTTTCTTTGCAGAAAATCAACCCACTGGCCCGCATTATTTCGACTGTCCGACTCATTATCCGAAGCAGCTGACTAAGCCAGCTTTGGTTCCGAGAATTCTACTTGGAAATGACGATGGGGCAACGTATCCAGGTAAATATAGGATTTTTTCAAACAAATGGCGACTGCTGCTTGTCGCGGTTCCTTTGAGGACTTGCATGGCTATCGCAAGGTGAAAATAAAGAGCCAGCAAGGTAGCAGCCATTTTGGCTGTCGAACGATACGATAAGGGCTAAGTGTGACATAGCCATCGTAGGCCACTGTCTCAGTGAAAATTATTATTATTATGTTTGATAAAATATGGCCTTTCCACATCTCACATTATACGAAGTTATACGAGGAACTACCCCACAATGCGGTATTTGATGTGTGTATAGCCAGTTGGCGGAGGTGAAGGTGGCGTTGTGGCATTTGGTGCCACTTCCCCGCAAAGTAAAATCAAAATCTCAGATATCTAGCCCATGCCAATAAATCCTTCCACCCTCCGGGATCAGTTCGTAATAGACTTGTCTGCGAGGATAAAAGAATAGTGACTTGACGGTGGCGACCCCCGCAGCTCTTAGTATAAGTTCACATCCCATTATATTGCACACTAAATTTAGTGGAAGGTAACTATTGCTATCTCAAGAGGAAGGAGGATCACGCCACACAGTTGGGGTTCGGCATGTCTGGATTCCTTTGGATACTTTTCCACCTCATAATTTAGTTAGTGGAGCGTCCCCTTCCTTACCCCTTCCTTACCAATTTCTTTCTGTGGACATTCATTTTTCGCGAATTGTCTTTAAGAGAGTGCTCCGCTCATTGCGCCTGGGGCATCTCCGTTCTGACCATTTAGTGCACCACCGCCTAAAATTCCGCTTATTCCACGTGCTTTCCCTACTTCTTTGTTCATGTGTGTTTCATTCCAAAGTTGACTGACCCTCTCGAAGTGTTTCTTGAGGCAATGGCGACTCCTGCCGGACAGCAAACACGCCTTTCCTTTTTTGTTTCCTCTTCGTATTCTTTTGTTTTTATTTATTTTTTTTTTCGGAAATACTTTTTTGCATTGCATTTTATTAACTTTTGGACTATTTTCTCTTTCCTCAAACAGACAATGCACCAAGACTCAAATAAGATAATTTTTGTGTCGGAGAATAGTGTTGCATGTTTCATGTTTTAAATTTCTTTTCAGTTTCCCATAGAAATGTCTATCCCATGGATTCTCACTGACCACATCCTTACTAATCCTGACTCATCTCTGTGAAGAGCATATATCACTGATTTATACAACGATGCAGCTAATTATAGCCTTTTTAACTTCCGAAAACGTTTTCTTTTTGACGAGGTAATCTCATAACTTCAATCTTTGTTGAATGTTGTCACTATTATAACCACTCTTAAGGTGGAAGCCGAAGTGAATCTATGCTTCGATCAATTCATTTATAAATTATCGGATATGGTATTTACACATTTCAAGCAGCTTGCATCATGGTTTGTTCATTCTCACAGTTCAATCGTGTGCCTTGATCAGAACTTGTTTTGTCTCTAGACTGTTTAACTTTTTGCTTGCTAACACTTCTATGCGAAATTCGGTTAAAAAAGCAGACTCGAAGGCAAAATAAATCGCAATTGTGAAAATCGTTCGTTTTAGCATGATGCTTGACAAGCGTTTCAAACTTGACTGCCAGAGGGCTGGAGTGACAATACGAACCCCCTGCAGGTCGTTTTGACAGCGTTTTAAGGCAAAGGCATGTACAGGTAATGGTTGAACTCCATGTGACTTGCAGAATAAATTTTATGTTGTTTGTAGTTACTTGGCCGCTCCATTGACCTGAATCGTTTGATTTCCCAACGGATAAGCATCGCCCTTCTAAAAGCCCTTGACACGGCCATATGGATGTTTGAAAGTGCTGAGCTTTCTAGCATTGTGGTGCGTTTGTGTTCACAGTCTAATTTAGGCTTTACCTAATATTCTGAGGCATGTTCGAATAAATAACTTATAGGAGCTGGACTTTTTGATAGAAAACCAACAGACTCTGTCACTCGTTATTGAGGGAAAGGCTCTTTTCAGTGCCAGACTTCAATGATCTTTTACTTGAGGTGAACCTTCATATTCCTATTACTGCTACTTTATTCTGATTTCTTTTCTTATTTTGTTCAATGAAATTGGGTTTACAGACTTCCCCGTGGAAGCGGAATTTTTCAGCAAAGACGCGATTTCCGAATACTTTAGTAGACTTCCGCTTCTCAGATGGAGCTTCTTTCTTGTGGTCTGTGGAGGGTCTAGGGTTGATAGGTAGCTTTCCACATTGTCATTGTTCTAGGCCAACCACAATGTGTCTGCACCGCATGGACGCATTACTTTTGCACGTGTTTTGGGAATTGAATTACGATTTTGTCCCAAATTTTGTTTACAATGGATCAAACTCACCGATTTGTTCGTGCCAAGGTCAGTGATTCCTCTTTTTGTCGCAGAGCAATGTTGGTACTTTTTGAGTAAGCAGAATTATTCGTTCGCGTAGGTATCCAAACGGCATCGCGTTGTTTTTGCTGGTCAGGCTCTTATTCTTTTAACGCATCATAACCAAAAGATAATTTTACTTGACGTACGCATCACCCGAACGCTGGCCTTTTTTCTTTAGGCTCAACTTTATCTGCAGAGATATTTTGTAACTCTTGAGTGTTCTTCATACTGAATTTTTGATTTTGTCAACTGATCGATTGCAGCCGTTTTCTTGCATGATGTAATCCGCTGTTTATGTGAAATTGTGTAATCAGTACATTATTGTGTGGTGCCGTGATTATTTTTTGCATCTGTCCAGGAAGTATTTCGGAAGACGCCATCTCGTGAAAAGAAACCGCAGGTCTCGTTCATCTATCTATGGGGGTCGAAGTCATTGAATGCAGCATTTGCGAACATTTTCTTCTCTTACTCACGCTTCATTGGAATTCCGCATTTGAAAGCGATCGCACGGCTAATGCAATACCAAGGTATTTGAGACTTCCTAGTTGCTTGATTACTAAAGTGTGAGCATTTATTCAACTATTCAGGCATTGCTGTGATCCTGGAGGAACTGTTAAAAATGGCTCGAATACTGATTTCTGACAAGTTGAAACGCCACTTGAGGACAATTTACTCTGTGATGCCAAAAATATGCAAGTTGCCACGGAGCGACTACGGTAGTCCAGGTGAATTCATACAGTCGGATCGCTCTCTCTGAAATCTGATACAACAAGTGGAACAGAATTTTTGTAGGTGTGCTTCAATATTACTTCCACCATCTCGAGGGCGTGGGAAAGTATGGCGAATTGAAAGGCGAATTCTGTCAGGTATTCCGTTTGAATTGTTTTCTGTTTTTGTAGAGGACGCTCTAGTTCCTGTCTTTCGAAGCTGAGCTGAAGGCTGTTATTCAATCAGAAGACGCTCACCAATGAGATTTCTTGCTTTTGAGTTCAGTTTTTAGGATCTGCGCGAATTGGGCAATATTATTCTCTTTTGTCACCAGCTAGAATCAGGTATGGCTCAAGAGGAGGTGCAGGATCTACTTGCCGCAGCTGCTTTCACAAACGTCATTCCGAAGCCACCAGCCAAAAGTTTGTTGCCCTTGTTGTACCTTTTATTGAAAGGTTTCTTCTTTCTCAAGTGTCCGTTTGCTTCTAGTCTAACTTCATATTTGGGACGAATGTGTCCGAAACGAAGAAATGACGCTTTTAGGTAATAATGGTACGAGTTTCAGGTGTTGCTGAGCAAGAAAAACAACTTGCTAAGCTTGAGGAGAAATACTCTCGTATTCAGCTCACTAATGTCGTTGAGAAGTTTGGAGATGATAAGGTATGCTGTGATACTCTGGAGAGCACTCCTTAAAGACCAAGTCTGAGATTCCCAAACGAAATTGAGCTCTTGCGTGAGAAATATGGAGTGGGCCTTAGCATATACCTTCTTGGCGACACGAAGTAACAAGGCTGAGTCGCTAAGGCCTTAGGATGCTCTGATCCATCACCACAGATTCCCC